TTTTTTTTTTTTTTTTTGCTAAAATTGTTTTTCAAAATTGTAATAAAACCAGGTCTCACACTGATACATACATTTTTCCAACTGCTTAAAAAATATGTTATTGTTAACTGTTAAAATATGTTAACTTTTCTACTGAAATTCCTGTAAATTACAGTTTCTATAAAAGACTAGTGTTCACGCATGAAGATGTTTGGTTGAGAACAACACAGTATAAAAATAAAAAAAGCAATTAAATTTAAAAACTTGTTGAGGTTTTGACAATACTAAACCCCATAAATAATTTATAATCCTACAAGCAAAAACACAACACTAGTAACTGGTTACAGCAGTTAGATAAGAACCTTGATCCGTAGTAAAAGTCAGTTGACAATGTATTTTTAACTCTTAAAAACTCATAAAAGAAAAAGAGTTACCAACAATCACACAAAGACGTATACACCTGGAAAGTTCACTTACTCACACTTAAGAAAATAAATAGGGTGAAGGAGAAGAGAAAGAAGACAACAACAGCGACAAAGAAAAAATTAGGGAAAACTGCAGTATGACAGTTGCCATTTGCTGAATTTAAATTTGTGGCGTAACAAACGTTTAATAAATCAATAGATTATTAAAAGCAAAAAAAAAGCTATTCAACAACAGTCGGTGATCTAGTTTAGAAATTTTTTGAACAAAAATGATACCTCTACAACCTTCTTAAAGTTGCTCATCTTTCAGCGCATCCCCTCCCCCCATAAATTTGCAGAAACTGAGCGTTGAATTGCCTCCCCTTTGTGTTGCTTTAACACTGCTGACTGTTCCAATTAAAAAACTAAAGTGAAGGCAACGTAAAGGCTACGCCAGTGAGGGAAAGGACATAACAAGAAGAAAGATGACGTATTCTCAGTTAATTTCTACTGGTTTCTTTAATTCACGAAACAAAGCCGCAACAGATACTATACCTATTGTCTGCAGTACCCTAGAAGAAGGACCATAATTAATGTTTTTGAGCTATCAGCAACTACTCCAGCCAATAGCAACACTTCTAAAATTTATAGAATGCAACTGTTGTCGAACGAAACGCTAAGGAAAGGCAAGTAGCCTATGAAAAAACCAGCCTAACCTCATTTCTAGTCTTCATTTTAAATTTCTTATCAAATACTTTATAAATTTTGTCTCCGACCAACCTTGAATTAGCAGAGTTTTAAACTTGAGAAAACTACTAAGTATCAGTAAACGTTGTTTTATAAACAGGGGAAAGACAAAATAAAATTTCCAAACAAGTAACAGAAAAAGAACTTAAGGAACGTTTGTTGCCTATTAATTAGCAAAAGATTTTGAGTCGAAGAGGGAACACTGAATTAAATGTATCGAATTTGAATTGTTAGATGGTTTATCAGTTGAAACCAACACAAAATCCTTCTTAGTTGTTTAAGCAGCCTCAGTACAACACTTTGTCGTAAACTTGTTTCTAAAAAATTTTGATCCTAAATTTCGAAGAATGTTTCAACAAATAATTGTAAAAGTTCTTAAAATTTTACTTTGCTCTTTTCTTCTAAACATACTCTATTTTTGACGTTATTTCTTGCTCTTCAATTATAAACTGTCTACATGACAAGGCTCTATACTTTGATAATTTCTAAACTCTCAGTTCTTTTCGTAAATAGTATGCCATCCATTACGAAAAACACTAGTAAAAATATATTAAAGGTGCCAGTCTTCCTCATTATTTTTCCGAGCATAACACACAGAGAATGTTTATAAAATAGCTTTTCTTTTATCACTTGTTATCGAAAATAAAAAAGTAACGGGAGGTTTACCAGTTGAATATGCTTAGCCAACATAAAAATGATACAATAATGACACCTATAAGTAACAATAAGAACTACATAAAAACCACACAACGATTGTAGCCTTATATTTATGTATAAAACTTGATAAATTTTTTAGGTAAACATTTCTCAATTCCATAAAACAAAAAATTCTTAATTTTTATCTATTCTTATGTTTGGCGAAAAAAACAGAGAGAAGGAGAAAAAAAATTGTAGCATGGCGAGCAACTAAAGCCAATGCTGATAAGCTGCCGTAACCAATAAGTGTATGAATTACCCTAAATTACTGAAAAAAATTTGCTGCGAAACAAACCATTCAAACGCTTTTGAAAAAAATAGACTTTTTAATAGTTTTTTGGAATATAGTTTACCGTTAACAAGACGACAATCTAAGCAGTTCATCAATCACCTGCAGCATAAATTTTTGTATATAAATCAGTTAAAAATAATGTCAATGAAGAATTAGGATGAATATAGAAAGCAGCAGATAGTAAAAAATTTAAACAACAAACCATACATTTTTGAAGTATATTAACATTGCAGCAGTTAGCAATAAGGTTAAAAATGTGACACCTGCAGAATCAAACAGCAGCCAACAGTCACCATCATAGCATAATTCAGACTACTTCACTTGCGAACAAAAATAACTTTAATGAGCAAAAACTGGAGAAAACATATCGTTACAGTAAAGGATAAGCATCTTTCGCTTTTCTACTCATCACAGCACTTGTCAGTCTGACTCATCGAATAACACAACCTAGAAACCGAACATACTAGATATCAACACGTATACGGCACGCTTTTTAATAACAGTCGAAAAGGCAGTATTTTGTATGAAAACCGATTATGCATGCAAATATACTTCAAGTCTCCGTTTTCGCTAGTAACTGTTTTTATGATTTATCTCATAGCTAATATTGAAAAATTTAACAAAAACCTATAATAACAAAATCAAAGTGTAATTTTCTTCTTTCCGAATTTTGCTGAATAATATAAACAAC